GACAAGGGGAAACCACGTCGGAAAATCCTGATGAACTTTCTCGAACAATGCAGGGATCGAACACCCGACCTCCAGACTAGCGAGCCAGCATCTTAACCACCTAGCCACCGTGGCTCCCCAAAAGATGTCCGACAATAACACAGAGTATCTACATCAATATAATATGACATATTCCTTGTGATGCCATTTTGTGTTTCATTTTTCTTCGTCTATCACACATGTTGCCCGAGCAATGGCATAGCCAACTACCAAGGATTCTCTTACATGCACGCCAATGTGTACATGGAACACATTTTTTCGTGTCATACGAACGACTAGACACCATTCGTTGTGAGGCCCTCCTGTCATCCCAAACTTAGGCTGCCTATCTACAGCTAGCTCCGGCTGAGCTGGGAAGTATGACGTAGATTGGTCGCTGTGTGCAGTATGGCCCTCCTGTCAGTGAAGCTGGAATACCTCACTGGAAAGTCCAGAGGAACTATTTTCCCAATTTACTGAGTCACCCTGGTTCCATGTTGGTGGTGGTGGTGGGGGGGGGGGATTAATGGCCGAATGGTTAGTGCGTGCGTTTTGTATCGTAAGGTCTGCCATTGATTCAACTGACGTGGTTTTGATTCCCCGGTTGTACGTGACAAGGAGTAGGTTCGCCTGTCCAACGTCGTGGGTTTACTCTGTGTCCTCCGATTTCCTTTCACTTCTAAAGACTTCTGCGCACAAGCGAATTATTGAAATGAAACTGAACTTATGTTAACACCGAAATGACCTAGATTGTATCGAGTGGACGTTAAACCCCATTTCTCTCCCTCTCCTTGTTGTCGAGCCAGTGCCTTATTCACCGAGTCGTCATCCGGGATCCATGTTGGGTTACACGCATTTGGGTTTTGTCGGGGATATACTAATGAGTGGTTTCTGCCTTCCGCGTCCGCCCGTCATTCAATGTATTTGTAGTATCAGGTAATGTAATAAAATCGTTTAAATATGTAAGGACGACAAATCGTTTAATTTAGACAGCGAAAGTTTGACGCCAGCACCAAAATTCAAAGTTATCTTCTATGCTATGATCGATTTAAAGTAGCTACCCAGTTAACATTGATGGTTAGATTTACGTAAAGTTTACGTCATTATGGTTAGATTTTGGTTAGCGTCCAATAATGGTAAAATTCTTTGGTTAAATTTACGTTACTTTTACGTCATAATGGTTATGGTTACTTTTACGTCAGAAAATGACGTAAATGTAACGTAAACTTTATGACGGATTACTAACCAATTTTTTTCGCTTTAAATACTTCTTGATTAAATAAAATTACAAGTGTGTGCACATTCTAACAATTGATAAATAGTTGGAATTCAGACATAATAATTATATATGTATTATTGGTTATAATTCTAACGTTATTCTAACGTAAATTTTACATCAGGTTTCTAACCGTTAGTTTATGGTTAGTTTTCTGACGTAAATCTAACGTTAGTTTTCTAACGTTAATATAACGTTAGTTTTCTAACGTTAATATAACGTTACTTTTATGTCATAATTTTAACCGTTAATTTAACGTTAGTTTTCTAACGTAAATCTAACGTTAGTTTTCTAACGTAAATCTAACGTTAATTTTATAACATAAATCTAATGTTAGTTTTCTAACATAAACCTGATATTAGTTGTATAAAGTAAAACAAATGTCAGTTTAATTTCATGATACTAACAATTAAATTACTGTCATTTTTTATCCTTAGTTTTCTTACGTAAACAAATGTCAGTTTAATAACATGAGCACCATTTGTAATGAAGCGACTCGATGAAGAAGGCTAACCATATCCCACAGGACAATACTGGTGTGGACTAGAATAAGCAGACGCCAAAGACTGTCATTCAATTTGGGCTTTTTGCATATTTTGTCGAACATAATTGATTAAAATATACAGTAAAACCAGATAAGACTGAACTTTATTCAGTTTATATACATTCATGTTATATTATTATATGCCTTGCTACCCATTTTTGTCCATTTCCAGGTGCCCAACAATAGAAATGAAATGGGGTTTAACGTCCTACTGTTCTGCTCCGAACTGGGCTAATGAAGACGGGCATGTGCCATACAGTGTCCTATGAGGGACATTTTGCCCGTACAGCGGCACTACGACCTACTCTTATATCGAATTCCAACTGTCAAGGGATCTTTTACGTGCACACTAATGTGTCAACAGGACCTCAGTTTTTCATCGGATCCGAACAACTAGACAGGTGTCCTTATCAGGCCCTACGTCACGCATCACTTTCTCGGCCAATGCAGGGATCGAACCTTTTAACTCCTTTAAGAATTTCAGCCTGTAAGCGACACATAAAGAGAAAAAGGAATGAATGAATGACCTACTCTCATTTCGAATTCCAGCTGTCAAGGTTTCGTTTACATGCACATGCAACATGAGCACAAGATCTTGATTTTTTGTCCTATTTGAAGGACTAGACACTGTCCTACATTACAAACAAGGGGAAAATTCTATACCAGGATCGGACCCCTCGTTAGTTAGCCAGTGTGTTAACTTGAAAGTTAACCATTAGCCATTCAACCACGCCAGTGTGCTACAAGGGAGTTTTATCCGGACAGCTGTGCTAAGGCCTACTCATATATTGAGTTCCAACTGTCAGGGGATCTTTAACGTGCATGCCGATGTGTACATGGGACCTCAGTTTTTCGTCCCATCCGAAAGACTAGAAACCTGTGCAGTGCACAAACACATTCTCCTTATTATTCCTGTCTGTGACTACAGTAACTTGATATTGTACACATTGGAGTGCACGTAAACGATCCCTTGGTAGTTGGAATTCGATATAAGAGTATTCTGTTGTGCCGCTGCCCGGGCAAAATTTCCCTCATAGCACACTGTATGGTGTAGGCCCATCTTCATTAGCCCGGATTAGGAGCAGAACAGTAGGATGTTAAACCCCATTTCATTTCATTTTGTGTACATGGGACCTCAGATTTTCGTCCCATCCGAACGACTAGACAGCTGTCCTTGTCAGGCCCTCTGTCCTGCAACACTGCCAAGCAGAAACCACATCGGAAAATCCTGATGAACACTAGCCAGTCAGTGGCTTCGGGGTCATAAATGTAGTGCCACAAAAAAAAAATTTGCAGTTCACAAACACATTCTCCTTACTATTTGAGTCTGTGACTACAGCAACTTGAAAGTAGTCCAATTAATAGCCTTTTTTATGTGGTTTTGCAATCGAAATCAAACCTGAGAGGGAAAACAAATAATGATAATACATGAAAAAGTGTGGCACCATCCAAAGGGAGAGTGAGAATGAAATGGGGTTTAACATTCACTCGACACAAACTAGGTTATTTCAGGACTAACCGTAGGGGTCTTTAGCAGTGGGAGGAAACCGGAGCACCCAGAGAAAATCCACGGGGTTGGACAGACGTCCCTACTCCTTGTCATATTCAACCCGGGAATGGAACCCATGCCAGTTGACTCAATGACATACCTTATGATACAACACGCATGCGCTAAATCGATGGACACACTAGCCGAATCGTTCGGCTGAATGGGTGGACACACTAGCTGAATGCTTCGCCCGATTCAACCTGTCGGTTGCATCACCTTTCACGTCACATGATTAAACATGGCGGCGTCTGTGTCTTTAATCTATCATGTGACTTCTCGATATGAGTGGTGATTGGCTAATGAATTCTATATTCGGCCGAATGCTTCGGCGAAGCGAACACACCAGGCGAATATAATTGATTCGGGCGAATTATTCGGCCGAATGACAGTGGACACCGAATCATTCGGCTAGTGTGTCCACCGCCTAACCATTTGTCCATCCGACCCTCCGCCAGTGCGTTACCAGGGAGTTTTGTCTGGACAGGAGTGCTAAGGCCTACTCTTATATTGAATTCCAACTGCAAGGGGATCTTTAAGTGCATGCCAATGTGTACATGGGACCTCAGAGAGAATGAAATGGCATTTATCATCAACTCGACACAAACTAGGTCATTTCTGGACTAACATATATAGTTTAATTTTATTTCAATAATTCGCGTGCCCGTAGGGGTCTTTAGCAGTGGGAGGAAACTGGAGGACCCAGAGAAACCCATGAAGTTTGACAGGCGACCTTACTCCTTGTCATGTACAACCAGGAAATCGAAACCACGCCAGTTGACTCAATCATACCTTATGATACAACGCGCACACGCTAACCATTTGGCCATCCAACCTCGCGCCAGTGTGCTACAAGGGAGTTTTGTTTGGACAGCAGTGCTCAGGCCTACTCTTATATTGAATTCCAACTGCCAGGGGATCTTTTATGTACATGCCAATGTGTACATAAGACCTCAGTTTTTCGTCCCATCCAAACGACTAGACAGCTGTCCTTGTCAAGCCCTCCGTCCTGCACCACTGACAAGCGGAAACCACGTCGGAAAATTCTGATGAGCTTTCTCAGGCAACACTGTGAGCGAACCTGTGACCTCCAAGCAAGCCAGCCAGTGTCTTATTCACTTAGCCACTGTGGCAAAGGGGTCATAAATATAATTCCACAAAAAAACCTGTGCAGTTCACAAACACATTCTCCTTACTATTCGAGTCTCTGTGACTACAACAACTACTCGAAAGTAGTGCGAACTGTAAATTTTATTTTGTTAAACCATCGTAAGAAAAGAAACATATTGAATATGCTTGTCAATATTCTTTCTCTGTCAGAGCAGCTAAAAGGTGAAATTGTCTTCCAAAAACTCTTTGTGAGTCCTCTTCCATCCAAAACTTAAAAAAAAATTATTTCAAAAATGGTGTTGAGAGAGAGAGAGAGAGAGAGACAGAGAGAGAGAGAGAAATGGGGTTTAACGTCCACTTGACACAAACTAGGTCATTCGGGACTAACATATAGTTTAATTTTATTTCAATAATTTGCTTGCGCGTAGGGGTCTTTGGCAGTGGGAGGACCCGGAGAAAACCCATGAGGTTGGACAGGCGACCCTACTCCTTGTCACGACCCTACTCCTTGTCACGTATAACCGGGGATTCGAAACCACGCCAGTTGACTAAATGACAGGTCGTCACCATTCGGCCATCCAACCCCCCAAAAATGGTGTTGAAATGGGTGTTTTTGTGAATGCGCTTAGAAATACTCATGTGTAATGAAGTGCTATAATTGAACCATAATAATAATATAGTAGGCCTAGTGGACTCCTCCGTCTCATTTTGGTTGAATGTTTGGAAATTTGATGGCTAATTAGATTTAGGACACTCTGGCATATTTTCTAGGCTTGGCTTCATGTGGCCTGTTTTCCATGCATACAAGAATTAACCAATTAGAAGTTAAACAAAATAAAATCTGCTCCAAAATATTACAATACTTTTTTTTATTTCATTGCCCAAAACACCTTTACAGCCTGAATGTTAATTTTGGGGCAGCGTTTAACTGCATGGGTGGTAATTGAATTTATTAAATTGACTAACTTTTGCACAATAAGTAAATATAAATTATCTTAATACCCCAACTCAGACAAGTTAGTGGCCTTTCAAACCAATTTAAATTCGGTCAAAATTTGTAGAAATTTAGATATTATTTTATTGCATGTGTGTACAATTTGTTATGTGTCTAAGCTCTGTTACCACAAAAAATATATTTAATTTAGTCCTTATAGTAGATTCTATCACACGTTTGAAAGTTGTCCAACGGTCGAATAAATATGTTGTAGTTTGACCTAGATAAATATAAGACTGGGAAAATAAATATAAAAAAAATTCCGACATCTTAAAAGTAGATACCTATATTCGCAATGGAAATATTATTTTAAAAATCGGGATTATTTAATTTGATACAACTGAATAAAATGGCTCTAGTCGATCTATTTAAAAAAACATCAACCAAATATACGAGTTGGGCAACTGCCAGTGCAGTACTGCATCCGTCGTGATCCGAATAAAGCTGTACGTATGTATATTATATCATGTGCATGCTTAAAAAAAGGCCTCTGAATCATATAATAATTTCTTCAATTTTACTATTCATAAGCCTAAAATATTACGTAGTTATAGACTATATATAAAATATTGAAGTGCGTAGGCCTACAGTTGATAGTCGCATAGACTCCGTTATCTACGTATATGATATATGCCGCCATTTTGGGTCAAGGTCAAGATAAATTACAGTCAATACAAATGAATAACTGCATCGATAGATTATTAAATGTAATTTCTATTAACTGATTTCAATGTTAGGTGGTCTATGTTTGTTGTCTTTTTCAGTATATTGTCCACATTGATTAAACTATCATTATTAAAATCATTTTGATTCTTCTATATTTGTACGTACTTTTTTACAACTCTGAACCCGGAAGCGAGGTATTCTGGGAAGGGTATTTTAAAGATGGCGGGCGTTTTGTTATTTATTCGTGGAGTGCATGAGAAATGTTCAATATACAGCTACTTGGATTACACAAACAGAGAAAGATAGATTATACCAGTTAAATTGAGAGGTTTTATTTGAAAGTAAGTTTTTTCTTATATCCCCGACTGCTGATATACACGTATACTGAGACTACAAATTCAGCGATATGAAAAGAACTTACAATACAATGTAATAGTAGTAAAAATACTAATAAATACTATTCACACAGATGTAAAATTATTTCTGTCCTTATTTTTCTAATTTTTCACCGTAATTCTTACTTCTGTAAGACGCCAGGTTACGAAACAGTTTGCTTTCGTGAAAAAATAAAAATTACTATCAGGTTATTACTGTACACATTTTCATTTTTACTTAATTAATAATTACTTAGACCTTTTGGACTAAAAAAAAATATGTCCTCACTACTCAACGCTGCAGGCTTTGGCACATGACATTTTTACTTTCATAGCATTGGCAACACTTTAATCTCAATCTTCTCTGATTCTAAATAGCAGAAATATAGCAAATTCTTCTGTAACACTGTAATCAACCAGAACGTAATTCCAAACTTGACGTCTCCCCCTTGGACCCCGGCTGCTATTGCTTTTCATCAAAAATCTACCTGCTGTGCATAACTAAAGTTGACTTTTGAGCGCACGACAGAGAGTCTGGAGAGGGCCAACGCCAGTCTCTGCAGGCTGGGGCCAATGTACAGTCTTTCGAATGGGACAAAAAACCAAGGTATTTTGTACACATTGAATGATAATTTAAACCTAATTTCATTTTGATTTTGGAGTATAAAAGTTGCTTTAATTGAATTTTTTTTTGTTTTTTTTTTACAGACCCTATATTTGAGCACCATTCATGGCAGTCATGTCGAGGAAGTTATAAAAAGGCTGATAAGGGCTTTGTATATGGAAGCTAGATGACATTACTACTTATCATACACAACTATTTGTCACATACCGACTTGGGATTGAAACCAAGCGACTGAACTCAATAACACTCCTCAATAACACTCGTCTATGAAACCACCCAGATGGCAAAGAAATAAAGACTTTTTAATTATGTAACGAACTCATATATGTATCTATGGTAGCACAAAATTCACCAGAATGTAGGCCAAAGCTTTACTTTACAAGCAGTAGGCTTAAAATATTTTCCGTCTGATCTTGTAAGAGTCAATTGTTTATGAATAGTTTGCCTCAAGCAGATATCCTGTCACTGTGTCACAGTATCATATAACCGCTCTTTGGCTTGAACTGAGTTGTATCAGTGAGTTGAAAATCTACTGCAGCCAGTATATTAGATTCAAAATTCTAACGAGCTTTCGTCTAACTTCTAACTTCTGTTCATGTATTTTTTAACTTCTATTCATGTAATTTCTAACTTCTATTCATGTATTTTGTTAAATTAAGACAATGTATAATCCAACTTCTTTATTTGTTCAATGTAAATTTTAATTCTATTCCATCTTATTTCTATTATTTAGACGAAAAACGTCTTCTTAATTTTTACACTTCTGCCTAGCAACCATCATTATGAAGTCATTTTTGGTGATTGCGCACCTGGTCGGGACCATTGTGTTGATATAAACGACACATTCTTGATAAAGACGAGCGTGTCCTCGTCGAAACGTTGCTTTATATTAAACTCAGTAAGAGTTATCTATAAAATTGTACCCTGTGTTAATGTAGACCAACAGTATATAAATATTAATTGGCTCAACTTGTCTTAAAAAAAATGAACAAATGCTGTTTAGCTTGTATTTGAAATAGAAAATGAAATATAATGGGGTTTAACATCCTACTATTCTACTCCGAACTTGGCTAATACGCCATACAGTGTGCTACGAAGGAAAACTTTGCCCGGACAGCGGCACTACGGAACGATTAGACAGCTGTACTTGTTAGGCCCTCCATCCTGCATCACTGACAAGGAGGAACCATGCCGGAAAATCTGGATGAACTTTCTTGACCAATGCAGGGATCGAACACCCTACCGCTAGGCTAGTGAGCCAGCGTCTTACCGACCGTATTTGAAATCGTATTTGCAAACCATACATAGATATCACGTTCAATGTTGTTTGTGGGGTTGGACGGCCGAAAGGTTAGCACGTGCGCGCTGTACCATAAGGTATGTCATTGAGTCAACTGGTGTGGTTTCGATTCCCCGGTTGTACGTGACAAGGAATAGGGTCGCCTTTCCAACCTAGTGGGTTTTCTCCGGGTCCTCCGGTTTCCTCCCATTGCTAAACACCCCTACGCGCAAGCGAATTATTGAAATAAAATTGAACCATGTTAATACCGAACCTACATGTAGTTTGTGTTGAGTGGACGTTTAACCCCATCAGACTCTCTCTCTCTCGCTCTCTCTCTCGAAGTTGTTTTCAATTTTAGCACTCCACCAAACCATTCAACTGGACTAAAAGCGAGTCATTTGTATCAACAGAATGGTCCCGATCAGGTGCTCAATCGCCAAATTGAGCGAACGGTGGCGACACCAAACGACGTCATAATGATGGTTGCTAGGTAGAAATCAAAATTCTAAATTTGTTTACCATTCATGCTTAACATGTAAAGTGACTAGACATTTTTCGCCTTATTAATAGAAATAAGATGAAACAATTAAAATTTACACTGAACAAAAAAAGAAGTTGAATTATACATTGTCTTAATTTAGAAATTACATGAATGGAAGTTAGAAATTACTAGAGTACAAGTAAGAAATTAGACGATAGCATGTTAGAATTTTGAATCTAATATACCGCCATAGTATACGGGGAAACTTTTTAAACCCTTACAAATTCTTCAAATTTTTGTGATAGATCAATAATAGCAAAAATCTGTGTTAAAATTATATTTGTAATGTGTTTAACAAATTCTATCACACATGTAATATTGGTGTAATTTAGTATATACCTTATTTCAATACTGGGGTATTATATCGTTGCCCTGACTGTTTGTTTGTCCAAATTAGTTTGTGATTGTGATGGTGACAGTTTTTTATACGCTAACATTTTCATGTAGACGTATATTTTTGTAGCCCCTGTCCGTCCGAACGTCCATCGGTCCGTCCACAATTGTTTGTGGGACCGTAACTTCATGGATTATGGCCCCTGATTGTACTGAAAGTCATGTTTTTAGCTTGTGGACCCTATAGAGGTCAAAATTTTTATATGCCCACATTTTCATGTGGACGTATATTGTGGTAGCCCCGGTCCGTCCGGACGTCTGTACACAATTGTTTGTGGACACTCTACAGGTCACAATTCTTATCCGATTTTGACGAAACTTGAAATATAGGTTTATCTCCAAAAGATCTTGGTTGCTTTCGATATTGGCATGTATCTGACCGTAACTTCTTGGATTATGGTCCCTGATTGTACGAAAAATCAAGTTTTTAGCTTGTGGACCCTATAGAGGTCACAATTTTTATACGCCCACATTTTCATGTGGACGTATATTGTCGTAGCCCTTGTCCGTCTGGACGTCCATCCGTTTTTAGCTTGTGGTCCCTATAGAGGTCACAATTTTTATACGCCCACATTTTCATGTGGACGTATATTGTCGTAGCCCCTGTCCGTCCAGACGTCCATCCGTTTTTAGCTTGTGGTCCCTGTAGAGGTCACAATTTTTTTTCGATTTATAAAAAAAAAAACAATGGGAATATATAACCATTACACACTAAGATCTTGGTTCCTTTTCATAATCGCGCATATCCGAACGTAACTTCCTCGATTATGGCTCCTGATTGTTCGAAAAATCGCATAATCAAGGTTGAATTCGAATTAAGGGAAAATCAAAATGAAACTGCCTGACAAAATGTGTAAAAGTATGCAATATGAAGGCATTGGATACTCAAGATTTTAACTGGCCTGCAATTTAAAAATTTAATTAAAAAATGGGAAAGTGAGGCCAAGTCTCGAATATACCTGTGCCCTCATTACCACAATGCACACATCATGTCGAAACTAGAAACTGTGATAACTTGGCTCAGAATGAAGTAATTTGAATGAAATTTTCATTTTACATGTATATTATTTATTTTTGAACAATCATAGCAAGAATGGTCAGCTCTTTATCTAAATCTGGGCTAATGAAGACGAGCATATGCCATACAGTGTACTATGAGGGAAATTTTGCCTGGGCAGCGGGGCTACGGCCTACTCTTATATCGAATTCCAACTGCCAAGGGATCTTTTACGTGCATGCCAATGTCTACACGGGACCTCGGTTTTTCGTCCCATAACGACTAGACAGCTGTCCGTCTGTCAGTTCCTCCGTCCTGCATCACTGACAAGGGAAACCACGCCGGAAAATCAGGATGAACTTTCTCGGCCAATACAGGGATCGAACACCCGATCTCCAGGCTAGCGAGCCAGCGTCTTACCCACTTAGCCACTTGATCCCCCCCTTTGGTGAAAGAGAGAGAGAGAGAAATGGGGTTTACCGTCCACTCGACACAAACTAGGTCATTTCGGGACTAACATATGGTTTAATTTTTTATTTACATAATTCGCTTGCGCGTAGGGGTCTTTAGCAGTGAAGGAAACCAAAGGACCCGGAGAAAACCCACAAGGTTGGACAGGCGACCCTACTCCTTGCCACGTACAACCGGGGTTTCGAAACCACGCCATTCGACTCAATGACAGACTCAACCACGCTAACCATTCAGCCATCCACCCACCCACCCCCCCCCCTTTGTTGAAAGAAAACAGAGCTGTGGCTAGTGAAATGAAAGTTTAACGTCCTACTGTTTTGCTCTGAACTGGGCTAATGAAGATGGGCATACGCCATACAGTGTGCTATGTGGGAAATTTTGCCCGGACAGTGGCACTACGGCCTTCTCTTATATCGAATTCTAACTTCAAGGGCTCTTGTACGTGCACGCCAATGTGTACATGGGACCTCATTTTTTTGTCCCATTTTAATGACTAGACAGCTGTCTTGTCTAGCCCTCTGTCCTGCATCACTGACAAGGGAGAACCACGCCCGAAAATCTGGAGTAACTTTCTCGGCCAATGCAGGGATCGAACACCCGACCTCCAGACTAGATAGCCAGTGTCTTACCGACTCAACCAACGTGATCCCCGTTGTGGCTACAATTCCTGGATTTGAAGGTCAGGTATGATATGAAACGAATATTTTGAACCGGTTCACCAATGCAACCAATCCGTGACGGGTTAACTGATAGAGGGTTACATCCTTGATATAAATATACTTGTCGCGGGTTTTAAAAATAGAAATATATATATAAAGGTAGCTCAAAATTCATCTCTACATGTACAGAGGCCAAGGGGGGATCATGTGGCTAAGTGGGTAAGACGCTGACTCGCTAGCCTTGAGGTCGGGTGTTCGATCCCTGCATTGGCCGAGAAAGTTCATCCTGATTTTCCGGTGTGGTTTCCCATTGTCAGTGATGCAGGACGGAGGGCCTGACGAAGACAGCTGTCTAGTCGTTTGGATGGGACAAAAAAAAAACAAGGTCCAGTGTACACATTGGCGTGCACATAAAAGATCCCCTGGCAGTTGGAATTCGATACAAGAGTAGGCCATAGCGCTGCTGCCCGGGCAAAATTATCTCATAGCACACTGTATGGCGTAACCTTTTGCGTCTCTTCAAAATATTTCAAATCTTTTGTCATGGATCAACCATTGCAAATATCCGTGTTACAATTATATTTGAAATGTGTTAAACCAATTCTGCAACACATGTAATATTGGTGTAGTATATATCTTTGTTTATACACCCACATATCAATTTTGGCCCTGTTTGTCCGTACACTGGGTGTGAAATGTGAATCATTCCGATTGTGAGAGGACAAGCATTATCAATATACAGCTTTTCAGGACTTTGCTTTCCTTGGTTAATTCTCCCTAGTCTAGTCGTTTGGATGGTACGAATGATCGAGGTCCTGTGCACACATTGGTGTGCACGTGAAAGATCCCTTGGCAGTTTGAATTCGATATAAGAGTAGGCTTTAGCGCCGCTGTCTGGATAAAATTCCATAATAGGACACTGTATAGCATATTTCCATGTCATTAGCCCTGTCGGAATAGGACATTAAACCCATTTCATTTCACTCATTCCAAAGTTAACTTCTATTCCATCAATACCTTGAGCAAATAAGATAGAGGCTATAGGTTTTGGCCCAATTTGGTCAATATCCCAGTTTTTTCTTTCTTATATGCATATCAACACTTTCATAGCGCTAATGTAGACCTTTTTCTTGAACATTTTCCCGTGTCAGTGATGCCGGACAGAGGACCTGACATGGATGGCTGACTAGTCATACGGAAGGGACAAAAAAAACCAAGGTACAGTGTAAACTCAAGTGTGTGTGTGTGTGTGAAAGATCCCTTGGCAGTTGGAATTTTATATAAGAGTACGCCATAGCTCTGCACACTGTGTGGCATATGCCCGTCTTCATTTCTCAAACAGCTGTGGATAAAAACTGTTAATATTTAAATGTGTATTTTGTATTTTATAACATTATATTTTTGTCTTTTAAATAAAGTATATGTATACATACTTGTAGTATATTTTGTCATATAATTCTGCTAGATTTTTAACTTTTCTGTGCAATACATTTAGAATTCTGACTGGTTATGGGTAGATAGAGAGCAATGGGGTAAAACATCCAATAGACATAAACTGTCCTTTGGGACTAAGTGATTCAATTCAAGTTGAATAATTCATCCGCACCAGGAATCTTTAGTAGTAGGAGGACCCAGAGAAAACCCATGTTCAAGTTGGGTGTGGAAACAAACCACTTGACTCAATGACAGACCTTATGATCTAAAGCGCACACGTTGGACCACTCAACTTTTAGCCTCACCCACGGGTCAGGAAAATTTGATTATTGGTTGAATGTACTTCCCATTTACTGCCGCAAATAATGAATAATTTTGAAGGTTTTAATGCTCATCAAAATTTGACTTTAGAATTGCATCCGTAAATGATGTTAATTTAATGTTAGATTTACGGTATAATGATCGGTTAGATATCCATCATTTTGCTCATCCTTTTAACGACAATTTAACGTCAGGAAATGACGTTAATCTAGCGTAAAGTTTACGTCATTTTTACGTTATATTTACATCATTTTCTGACGTAAATCTAACGTAAAGTTTACGTCATTTTCTGACGTAAATCTAACGAAAATGACGTAAACTTTACGCAAATTTTACGTTAGATTTACGTCAGAAAATGACGTAAAGTTTACGTTAGATTTACGTCAGAAAATGACGTAAATATAACGTAAAAATGACGTAAAGTTTACGTTAGATTAACGTCATTTCCTGACGTAAAATTATCGTTAAAAAGATGAGCAAAATGATGGTAAACTGACTGACCATTTTTACGTAAATGTAACGTAAAATTAACATCATATTGTTATGTGGGTAAGTTTCGAACTCAATATCATCCAAAATCTTAAACATTGAAAACACAAATTATTTGTCAGTTTAAATCAACATTGATGCTGTGATCTTACCGGAAAAAGATGGGCTTCTGATATCCAATATTTAAGACAAAATAAACATTTTACCATTGGTACACGAATCGTGTACCATAATGCGTTTCAGCCCCAGTTCTAGCAAGAGGAACGAGGCTAGGCACATTGCACCAAACCAAACGGCGTATGTAGACTGGAATAACCAGGCGCTAGAAATTTGCATTCGATTGAGACTGCTGACTTATTTCGCGGAACATAACTGATTTGAAATTACAGTAAAAACGGAAACCATTGAATGTATATCAGTTTATATACATTCATATTACAGTATTATATGAGTTCCGACCCACTTGTGTCAATTTCTAGGTCCCAAATGTTAGCGATTTAGCTCCTTTAAGTTCTTTCACAGATTCCTGTAAAATTAATCACCGTACCAACTGTTCTTCGTGTGACAAAGTGCTTAATTTTCTGTTTTATAAAGTACGAATTAAATTATTTAGATTCTGTGAACTTATTGACCCCAGGTGGTTTTGATAATAGATGATATCGAATTTTCAACTCTGTATATACTTCTGTTAGTCACGTTCTAATTATACATGCAATTAATCCCATATGTCATTTACAAGCTACATATGATCTGTGTACAAGCTCCGCATGACTTCAAAGGAATACGCGCCGGTCAGTTAATCATACCATGATGTGATAAATAGACAATTCCATATATGATCACGAGTCTTATGTAGTCTCCCGTTGTCGGAGTCTATATAACCAGGAGTTTGCTGACCGAGAGACGAGCGGGGATGAGGAGAGAGACGTAGAGACGGGAGGAGCGGAGACCGACGTATGGACTCAGTCGGGTTCAGCCGCTGCCGCGACAGGAGGAAGGAATGGTTGTCTTAATGTGCCATGTTAATGTTATCGTTTATATTCCCCATGTAGTTTAGTTCCTGTTGTATTTTTGTAGCTGTTTTATATAATGATGTAAAAAAAATCATATATCTACGAAATTGATATCTGTTATCACTAAGATAGTCTTACATTCGGTATAGTGAAACAATCATCCTAAGTGTTTCTTTGTAAAATATATCAAAGTTAAAATATACAATCATGTAGTAAGCACAAATTTCTTTAATTCAAAAGAAAACATTCGCTCAATGAATATTATGACGTCATTTATAAAATAACATTGGATATACAAGTAGTAAATTTACATTATATACAAAATCATCTGGATATATATTAGAAAGACACTAGTTAATTCATCTCAAAACGAATGGCATTAGAATATTTAGAATAAAATGTGTTTGGGTTTGTATCAGTGATTTAAGCAGACGAAAATGCATACCACAATTAAAAATCGCCAGTCAACAAAATATTCAAATCCCATATACGTTAACTTTGATGAACATAATCAATAAATGATTTCCCATGGTATATCAGTTATTCTGACCTGTCAAACTGACCCACAGCAAATATTCGGTTTGTCGCCACCGCTGTGAAATAGTTTGATGACGTCTGAATAAGACGAAGGATGAACAAAAGGCATTTAAAAATAGAACCGTCGACCAGTGATTCACAACCAGTGTGCCGCGAGATCTTCCTGAGTGTGCCGCGAGATCTTCCTGAGTGTGCCGCGAAATTTTGAACGGCACACTAAGAAAATTTCTCACTAAAGAAGCCAGCTATTTGAAACACTGCAATAAAGTAAGTTCATAGCTGTGTTTTTCTTTACATGTATTTAGTTTGGGTCACTCTATATGTCAATGACTAGTCTGTGTCTACGGTTGTATGCCGTCTATGACTTGCCATGTTTTTATTTTCAAAATTCAAATATTTTTCATATATATTTAGCCAGGTGTGCCGCTATTTTTTCATATGTTCCAAGGTTTGCCGTTGGCAAAAGATGGTTGAGAACCACTGCCGTAGATTGTCCAGTCAAGTCAGATTGTTCTATGTGTGCTCCCATTCATGTTTTAAATGTGTTTTCTTTATTACTATTTTAGCACATCCAAAGTTTGCTCTACTCGGAAGCGTTAAACCGTTTACTACTCCAATTACTTTCGTCTCGGGATCAAAGTTTAAACAATCTGTTTGGATTTCTTCTCCAGCTTCACCACCAACTATCAGAACACCACTGTGGTACGTCACGAGACCATATCGCCGTCTGCTAAAACAAGGAATCTTTTTAACAAGAACGCATTCCATGTCCTCGGTAAATTCTAGTAGGGACCCCTCTGTGCACAAGATGAACAAACGTCTGTTAAAGGCGATGCTGCGGCTGAGTTTGCAAGAAAATGGAAGGTTTCCGATCAACGTGCATGAGTGAGAACGTGTATCGAAACATTGGATACAAGATGACTCCGTGTCATCAGACAACAGTCCACCAAATATGAACACCTTCTCCTTTGACACAACCGATGACATAGAACGAACAGGTTTTACTAAATCAGCGACGCTTCGCCATGCTGATGTGGCTATTTGATATTCCTTAATTTCGCCAAGTGTCCGATTGCACTCCTCGCTAATTTTATCATCGTATCCACCCAATATAAAAATCGAGTCCCCAACTGCTACCATAGTATGTCGTCGTCGTCCTTGCATCATAGGCGGACATTTTTGCCATTCGTTATATTCAGCCCGATATCTTAAAAGATTGGACAATCTCTGGCTCCCACCAGAAACGTAAACATCGTTACCATGGACACAGCAAGCAAATTCTCTGCCCAGTTTGAAGGTGAGTGGTCCTAACTTAAACCATTTTTTATTTCTGATACTATAGCCAAGGACATCGGTAACCTTTTCTCCATTTAGCGTGTACCCTCCTAGAACCAATATGATTTCTTCATAAAGGGAATTTTTACGGAACGCAATTCTTGGCGAGGTGAACTCGTGGCGCCGTGATGGTAACATATGATAGCTTATAGCCTCCTTCACAATTTCCTGACAACGCTTATTTTCAGAAACAAATGGCCTGGATTCCACTTCATGAACGAGATATTCAGAACTAACTAACGGCAAACGAAGGACTTCAATTAGCGTTTGGACATAGACTTTCCTTGTATCGGCATCGGCCGCTAACCATGCAAAGACTGCATCACAAACGATCTCCTCGTTGCTAACCTTAAGATCATCGTGAGTTATCACGGAAAGAATTTCATCGATATCCAAACATTCAAAATCGTCCATTTTGCAAATGTGGACAAAATGTTCAAGGACATGCGAGAAGCATTTGATTTCTAACGTTTTGCAGCCGTGGGCCCTCGCTAGTTTCCACATACCGATACAGTTGTCAGCTGTTAAATGGGACATTAGAAACTGTTCACACATCAAGACTAAACTTGTCATTTGAAAAAGAGAAGACGACTTTAAAATCTCTTCTGCGTTTTCAATATTTATGTCACATTTTCCAGAATACATAAACAGGAGTATGTTTTCAAAATGTTTGGGTAGATGACCTTGAAGGAGAACTGTGTTGTCTTGACTCTCGCGCATACCGGAAGAAAACATGGCGTCGAAGTAAGGGGACATGGCTGCCAGAACGGTCTTGTGACAATGAAAAACCACCAATTTTACGTGAACCTCAATGTCAGTGTGTCTCTGTTCTTGGTATAATCTGTAAATGTTGTCACGTAGCAACAAGGCTACATCCGGTATCTTTATCTCCATGGTAACCAACACTATCGCTAGAGCCGCTAATTTCTGGAAATAAAAGATTCAAAGTTTATCACACGGTTATGATTATAAAATTTCATACATAATCAAACATAACCTTTATCCGATATTTTACAGATTAAAGACCCGACCACCAGACTAGCGAGCCAGCGTCTTACCCACTGAGCCACCGTGACTCCCCACAGACTAACGGTGCCTGCGTAGTTACACACTTACGGTACCGAATTCTCCATTATGGAATGTCTCAACCTCGGGGCATTTAAAGCCAGATAGCACCCACTGAGCTGACAAGCTAAGGTGTTGTTTAGTCGTTCGAATGACGCGAAAAGCAGAATGTGCTCGATCCATCCGATTACACTTTGGCGTGCATATACTAAAGAGTAGGCGAAAACGCCCCTGCCCACCCAACCTCCCCCCCCCCCCCTGCATTGTTCCTGTGTCCACAGTAAATAAAATTAACCTTAGTTCGAGGTGACTGGCTTCACAGAAATACATCTGACAGACAAAGAACCAGACACGCCTTTGTTGTTTTCATACGGAAGGCACATCAATAAACCTTTTATAAACAAAAACATAGAATGTTTCTGAAATCAATTATTGTTGTCGTGAAGAATAACAATAGTCGTCCTTTCCCCACTGTAATTATAACATGCTTTAGAAGATATCAGGTTAACAACAACACGTCAATAATTCAAATACATATGAGCTCAGACATATTATAAAGCTATGTCGTTTAAACATACTTATATAGTTAAAGAGAAAGCGAGCGGGAGAGAGAGAGAGAGAGAGAGAGAGAGAGATGGGGTATAACGTCCACTCGACACAAACTAGGTCATTTTTTTTTCGATTCCCCGGTTGTGTGTGACAAGGAGTAAGGTCGCCTGTCCAACCTCGTGGGTTTTCTCCGGGTCCTCCGGTTTCCTCTCACTGCTAATGACACCTACGCAAAAGCGAATTATTGAAATGAAATAGTCCTGTAATGACCTAGTTTGTGTCGAGTGGACGTTAAACCCCATTTCTATTGACCAACATCTCTCTTGTTTGTCCTTGTTGGTGATTGGTAGTACCGAAATGAAATGGGGTTTAACGTCCCACTGTTCTGCTCCTAACCTGGGCTAATGAAGACGGAGGTAGTACCGAAATACTTTAAAGGATTATAGACTTCCAAAATAAGGGTCGCTGTCACCGATATATGAAATAGTACCCACGCTAAAACTATAAGCTCGTGGTAGTGGACACCAAAGTGACGTATACAGGGCCACGTGAGTGACATGTTCGGTCCTTGGTGTCATGCATGTTTTCTCCTAAGCCTGCAAGTCTGTTTGGGCCACCTCCGGACACGGGCCCCCTGAGTTTTAGCCCCATTATATTATATAACTCGTAAGACATAGATATATAATTATAAATTCTGTTGTCGCAAATTAGACTAATTCTTACCAAATAAAATATTTATTGGCCTAGAGAAAATCATGGCTGTATATATTGATTTATTGATTGGTGAATTGGGAGAGGATCTAAGATCGTGACCACGACCGACTGCTAGAAAATGTTAAATAATGAATTAGCCCGAGTAACATATTATTTTCCTAATCGTATTTTATCCAACAAGATTCTGGGGGTCTTGTTCTGATGATGTTATGGTTATGATTTTCTAGTTCCCAGAGAGAATCTGATCGTTCACTATTGATATGCCCACGCAAATATATCAACAGCTTATTAAATGTCTAAATGAAATTATTGCTTATCACACGGTCGCCTTCATTAGCCCGTTTGGTGCAAAAATGAGAGACTTTAAACCCTATTTCGAGTCCGTTTCACATGGAATTGTAATAACAAAATAGACAATTTGACATCTAAGTGTTAGTAATGGGTTGGTTGGACTTCCTGTATTCTCTGTCCACGTCACGTCATGTTAATGTTAAACTATTATTTCTGCTCCTATAATGAAAACGGCCAGGGATCTTTTACGTGCACGCCAATGGATACATGGAAACTAGATTTTTCGTCACATCCGAACGACTAGACAGCTCACCTTGTCAGACCCTCCGTCCTGCACCACTGACAAGGGGAAACCACGTCGGAAAATCGCGATGAGCTGTCTCGGTCAATGCAGGGATCGAACACCCGACCTGCAGGCTAGCGAGCTAGCGTCTTACCCACTTAGCCACCGTGTCTCCCCGTATTGCTTTAAACAAAATGACTTTTAATCAAGCTTTAATTACAATCTCAATGGTATCTCGTTGGTTTTAATTTTTAAACCAATTATCTACATTATAACCAGCCATTATCGTATTAACAACTCTCGGTCTTACCTTTACAAATATTCCTCTTCAATCATGTCAAAACAATCAGCTATCACAAGACAGGTATTTCGTAACTTATTAACTCTTGTGGAATCGCAGACTGATGTATGTCTTGTTCATATCCTACGACATCCGATGCTGTTGCTAGGCGATAAACTATCATGGCGGCGAACAATGCCAGTATAGGGTAGAATTTACTGCTATGATGAACATTCGATTGTTTGATAAAGCTAGGAATCAATAACAGGAAACGATATAGTTGCGATTCATTGTTGTCGTTAAATTCCTGACAATAAAACAGTAAACAACAGATCAATAGAACAAGTCAATCAATTGATCTCGGCGCCGAGAAATTTAATTCAATGACCAATAGGGTAAAGAGTTAAAACAGGTGCGTGTTGTATCGCCGGTATCTTTTGTACTAGTTTAGGGTTAGTCTAATTAACTGCCATCATTAAACATGGCAGGTCTTTCTTCAGGCCTGAAATGTTATTTAAATTATTAACTAGAAATTAATTAACTTATCCAGACCATAATCAACTCTCAATGTCATCGTTAACCTGCGATATTTCCTGGATCAGGATCCGATTTGCTGTTCAACGCTCATTCATGATTAAATCAACAAATGGATAATCAAGACTATGTTTTTATCGTACCGACTTTAGTAATGATGATCGAGGTTAGACCCAAAATTCAATCGCTAAATTCTCGGTTCAGAGTGGTGTAATTTGACTGAAATTTTCAGCATATTCTATTTACACTATCTATTTTAACTATTATAGCGAGAACTGTCAGCTCTTTATCTAATCTCCCATAATGCACCTTTATTGTAGAGGTATAGGCATGCCACTTGCGCGCATTTATTGTAAAAGCTGTGGATACTATCGTTCTGACTGGATTTTTTTTTTTATCAATTCGAGGAGAGATTGTTCTTTCGGTTGTAACGAAGAATCCTGTTGAAATTCAAAAATGCTTCGATCTCAAATTTCAGAGTATTATTCCATTTACTTTCAAATTTTATGTAAGCTCGTGAAATAAAATGGCGTATACCGACCGTCCATCTTTTCTGCACCGACTGGTTAATATTCAGCACGTGTCAACATCCTACGTAAATTTAACTATTATTTGCACGAACTGGTAGTTACATTTTACTATAATTGGCACGCAGTTACATTTTAAAATCACTAAAGTTCTTTTGTTAACGCCCAACGGGTTATTACCTACAAATTGATCTCTGCATAAATTGACTGCTGAGAATGAATAAACAAAAATTAATATTAAATAAAATGTAGCACACGCCGAAAATCAATTTACTTAATTTACTTAAATCACGAGAAATTTGAGATCGCCGGAATGTGGCTTTGAAAAAGCTAGGGCCTGTACAAAGAGAGAGAGAGAGAGAGAGAGAGAGAGAGAGAGAGATGTGGTTTTACGTCCACTCGACACAAACTAGGTCATTAGGAGACTAACACATGGTTCATTTTTATTTCAATAATTCGCGTGTGCGTAGGGGTCTTTAGCAGTGGGAGGAAACCGGGGGACCCGGAGAAAACCCGGGAAATCGAAACCACGCCAGTTGACTTAATGAGAGACCTTATGATACAGCGCGCACGTGCTAACCATTCGCCATCCAACAACACTACAGTTCTGTGGAAGACGCAACAATATACTAAGGACGGTTGACACGTGAACATCAATGAATCGACATGGTGTCAGGAGGGCCTGAGTATCAGAGTCACTGGAAGGCGCATTGTAATGATGAGCATGAACAAGGATATCACAAGCGGCCATGCAGAAGCTTATCTCCCCCCAATCTGTTTCACAGAGTATTACGAAAGTCTTCTAATATCTCTGTAAAAGGTGACTGCCTTCAACACATGACGTCATATCACGCGGGGTCAATCATTGGCTCAATGGCGCGTGCATTGTTTACATAAGACGTTACTGATTCGAGCAGAATGGCGCCTTTTACTCGTTTTAATACCCATTTACACTAAAATAGGAAATAATTGTAACCTACAAATATTTCAAATGTCTTTATTTATTTTTCTAATACATAAAAAAAAATGTTTTAGAATTTAATTTGTCGAAGGAAAAAAGCTAATATTTGTGGCTCATTAATTAAGTCGCATCGATGTCATCCTTATCAGTGATTGTCGCAGCCTAGCGAATATTCACTGCGGATCAGTCTGATCTCCTCCATGTAACAGAATCGGAATGTTGATACATTATCCGACATGGTCGAACGCTGCCAGCTTCTTGCACTACTCTGCAGGGTCCACATGGGTTAACAACTGACACCGTGCTCTCCCAGACTATGTGTCAGACAGCGTAATGTTGGACGGTTACTGACATTTGATTTGAATTAAACCCTTGTGCAGCAAAGTTTCATTGTAAATTTGCTTTGATCCATGTCGTATGCTGGTAAATCCACAGGCTAAAATCATTTCAATTTTTTACATAAGCTGCATTTTGTCTAGACAGCATTTCCAGTCGTGTGTATTCATTGTGGGAACGGGGTTTTTATTTCCGATTATCTATTGTCTGTATGCTAGGATACCTTGATAATGCGTTGGAAATAATGTGCCTCGGGAATATTATATAGACAGGGCCAGGTTCCTAGAAAATTCTTAAAGTAAGCACAAAGTTATGCTTCACTTTTTTTTCTTACGTAAGAAACTTATAAAAATACCGTCCCTAGAAAATTCTCAAGACCATTCTTACGTAAGCACAAGTCAAGTATAAGTCTAAGCACATTGTGACTGGTAAAGTTTACCATAAACTGAGACTACGATGCTCTTTAAAGTCATAAAAACAACTTTGGTATGCGAATTACGTCATAAATTTGTCGTCTGCTTCATTGACGTCATATATATATATATATATATATATATATATATATAAATATATGGTTGATTTAGATGTATTTGACATGTCCCCTATACACATATAAAATGTGCCACAAGATAAAAAAAAAACGCAGACACATACAAACTAAGTGAATAATTGTGAGAGCGCCTGATCTTAAAGTAGCCTGTGTGTTTGTAGCCTATTCTTTACTAATTGGCAAATAAATAAAATGGTTTCAGGGTTGAAGCGAAATTTTCTATAGCATTCTTAATTTCTTCTGGAGAAGGATTTTCTCTGTCTTATAATTGTCTCTCTGGTATCAAAAGGTGTCGGAAATGCCGTCGAATAACTCTAAGGTCAGCCATCTTTTTGTAGCAGAAACAGACTTAAGGTTGGTAAGCAAGCCGTATACCTTGCTTGGGACTTGTGCTTAGATTGACTATGTTTAAGAACGAAGTTGTGCTTAAGTTTTTTCTTGGAACGCATAATAACTTTCTTGTGCTTACAATGAAGTCTACTTAAAATCTAAGCACAAGAACGTTCTTAAGAATTTTCTGGGAACACAAAATAAGGTAAGTTTACTTAAATGCAAAGTCTACTTAAATCTAAGCACTAGAACGTGCTTAAGAATTTTCTAGGAATCGGGCCCAGGGGCGGTAATGCGCATTTAATATCTCTATACTATAACAATTGAAGAATCCAGGGGAAGAACGATCTAAGTCACATTTTTGTCTTTTCTCATAAAAGGCAAAACAGACTTTTGGACGAGAATGCTTGACGCGAACAGAACAACTAGTGGGTTTAATTACAGCTTCAAAATGATGTTTAATACGAATCATAATTACCAGTACAACAATTCTCTTCCACTTTTCAGCCAAATTAAGGTCAAATAAAGGGTACGGTGGACTTGTATTTGTCCGGGAGGCCATTTTAGAAGGGCCTTGGTTCGATGTGACTCCGATCGTTTTTACCTGAAATTGATTGTTCCAGAGAAAGCTTATACAATTTCCTACCAGATGGCGCCATTAACTGGGATTCGTTCTTTCCCGGGGCCCTTCAATTGTTTCTCATTAAATATACAGTACATATTCGATTTATTTTAATGGCTTAAACATTTACAAGGGTTTAGACATTGTCATTCATGGCAGGGTTGGGTGGTAAGTGAAATGAAATGAAATGAAATGGAGCACGGCATAGAAGTGAATTATAGTTGATCAATAATTACTTAAATGTATGTGCTTGGGGGTAAGGCATTCAATACTGGAGGGGGGGGGGACATCAGAGAGAGTCGGGGATTTAACGTGCACTCGGCACATACTAAGTCATTTCGGAGAAAATTCACATGGTTGGACAGGCGACCCTACTCCTTGTCACGTACAAGTGGGGGAATCGAAGCCACACCACTTGACTCAATGTCAGATCTTATGATACAACACGCAATGAAGATGAGAATCTGCCAATAGTTTTAAAACCCGCCACGAAAACGCCTTTAAATAATAATAATAATGGATTTGTACATCGCCTCGTATCCAAAAGTTTGCTTACTGATGCTGAGTCTGTCACATTTACGACAGTTTCCCATCATCTTCACTGAATATGTGTGTTTTAGCAAGGATTTGAATGTACACAATGATTTTGCATCCTTAATATATGATGGTAGCTTGTTCCACAGTTTAGGAGCAGCAACAGAAAAGCGTTCGCAAACACTCTAAACCCATGACGCCCCCTTCACGTAGCTCTTGAGTGTCTACCATCAACATGAGGAACATGATAGTAAAAATACCAGTTGAAATTGTCTAAATTTTGACTAAATGTCCGATTATACAGCGATTCTTCTAAACAGTCAATTACTACTTGGTCAAATTCCTCATCAAATTTATTAGCAGCAATATTTGGTTGTATCAACAACCATGATAGTTCATGGATGCTATAAATACAAACAGATCGTACATATCTGCCCACACACTGATGGTTCTTTGTCCAGGTCCATGTCACAGCTTTGGAAATAAAATTATTCCTTCGTTGCTCAACAAAACGATAACTCCTTTGCAAAAAATTACCTGGGGCTTCTGGTAAAGATGAAAGCGACGGCCAGATCAGTTCCTCTGGAGCATAAACATCCGCTGCCCAGTTTATTAATTCTTTCGCGATTTTACTATTTAATGTAAAGTTCACAAAGCCACGAGTGAAACAACCGTACATGCTTCCCTTTCTGATGGTATTTGTCTTGGCAGAAAACCGATCAGGTATTGGACTTTTGGCTTTGTTTGTTCCTAAAAGGAATCCTCGTTCAGGAGATCGTTCATGGACAAATTTAAATCTTTTGTAATCTTTTAAAGGAAATATATACGATTCTATGTCATTGGCGCCCTTTAAGATTTTTAATATTTTCACTATTTCTAAATTAGTTTTCAGGACAAATTCTTGGCCACTTAAATTAATGTAATATTTCCATTCAGAATTAACTTCCAGGAGTTTCTTCATGCACATTAGATCAGTTTGCATCATATCAATAGACGTGTACATCACGTCCAATCTTTCTTCTAAAACGTACACATTATTAAAACAGGAGCCGATGTTTTTTATAGTCTCGAATATTCCAGGTTTTGCTTTCTTATCCACGTGAATACAATACACGTTTTGGGGCCGCCATATTGTTCTTAGCAACTGCTCGGCTTGTCGGACACTTCTGTGCATCTTAATTGAAAATGCTACGGGAAAGTCCCTTTCTTCTTTTGTAACTGGCCACGACGTGTATCCATGAAATTCTTTTAATCCGGAACAGTCTTTACTCAGTAATTCCAAGCTACAGGTTTTGTGAGAAGCGGGCGCCTGATACCCTGCAACCCGATTAATATAGGGGACGTCATTAACAAATAGCCTCCTGCAGTTAATGTGATTCTCGGCTACAGTGGAGAACCAGCAATGTCCATCTTCGCTCCTTGTATTACGAATGGGAACTTTGGATATCGTATTCTGTGCAAGCGGCGCTTCATTTTGAAAATTTTGGCTTACAATCTGTTTCTCTTGGCCCAATTGACCTATACCAAGCATCGCTTTGTCATATTGCTGATTACAGTTCATAAATATTACCAATAACGAAAGGGGTAATAAAATCAAAATGACGTAACGAGACCGATTTCTTCGGATAAGGTGCGCTGCAAAGTATAATGAAAAATTAGTTGATTACGAAACAAATCCAAACAGAAAGGATGGACACAGTGAAAGCAAATGCTAAGCCTTGATGTACCGTTTGTTTGTTTTTTTGTTGTTGTTTTTTTTTTTTTTTTTAACAAATTACAGATTTCAACTAGATGTTTTACATGTATAATTAAAAAGTGAAAAACAGACGGACGAATGACTTCGACTGTTTGTCCATTCCCAGTTATAACTATACGATCCATTTTGAAATTGTAAGATTGGTAAATTTATTATTTAAAGAAAACAAACTTACCCATGAACCTTAACATGATTTTTTGATGATTAAGCCAACGTGTCCCGCCTGTATATTATAATTATTTAGATTACGACGCGCGCATGCTTTGATTTCTATACTAAATGACCAGCTGTGTCGTGATATTGAATCTAACACATGGTTTAATTTTATTTTAATAACTCGCTTGAGAAAAACCACAAGGCTGGACAAGCGAATGTACTTCTTGTCGCGTACATGCGGGTGATCGAAGCCACGCCATTTGACTCAATGACAGACCTCATTATGCAACCCCCAACCCCCCAATGATGCAATGAATATCAGAATCTGTCAAATGTCAATAGTGTTAAAATTAAAACCCGGCACGATAACGTCTTTTTATAACAGGGTTCGCAAACACTCTAAACCCAGGCAGTCTTCGCGAGCTCAAGTAGCAGGCACTCCCTATCCTTGGACAAATTCGGGGGAATGGGGAGCAACTGAATGCGAGCAGTGAGACGACCAGGTGGGGAACATTGAAGTTACAATTTCATATTTTGTAAGAAAGTCAAAACATAATTATTTCTATGTCTTTTGCTCAATAGGTTGCCAGCTTACTATTATACGATCATAGGTGTCATTCTCACACTTAAAACTCATTCACACCGGAAATAATAACACAATTACCTCCCTTGTTTTCTATTCTCCACCATGGAGTAGTTATCTCCAAACGTTGGAATTTGAAGATGAAAATGAAATTTTTGCCACTTTATCAACTGCCCATAGTGAATTATAGGATTAATAGGATTATCCTTTAACAAGGCAGGACTGTTTATAGATACCATCTATTCTAAGGCTTTATTTTAATAAATTTTAAAAATATAACTTAAAAATATGAAATTGCAACTTTAATAGCGATAGGACTAAAAACAGCGCCGGCTTCGTTCACATGTGCCGTTCCAAACGAGAAGAATGATATTTGACCCGAGAGATCCTTCATTAGGAGGTTAGCCGAGACGGACGAGGAGGTGAGAGACCAGCACGAACACAGGCGCCTAATAAAGATCTCCTCGCGCAGAAGACTCTCATGAATTACAGCTGTTCATTAGTGACAGATTACTGAGCGAGTACGAAATATCCGACCCTCCCAGATATCTTATGTTCTTTTTTGAAAGATGCCGGTTTGGGGCATATGTTATAACTATGATATGTTATAACGGACGAGGTGAGGGACCAGCACGAACACAGGCGCCTAATAAAGATCTCCCCGCGCAGAAGACTCACATGAATTACAGCTGTTCATTAGTGACAGAGTACGAAATATCCGACCCTCCCAGATATCTTATATTCTTTTTTGAAAGACGCCGGTTTGGGGCATATGTTATAACTATTTATTTGAGGCCCACTATACGCCCACCTCCTACCCGCGCAACCATAAATATTTATTATTGGCCCAACCCCTACCTGCGCAACCATAGGCCCAAACCCTACCCGTGCAACCATAAATACGCCAAAGAAACGGAACTAATTCTGACCCTTTCAAGTAACCAAAAGCTGTAATACACATGGTGGTCCCCTTTCATTGTGGGGTTAGGGCAAGAAACTTCAGACCTTTCTTTCAAAACATTATTTTATTACACATATTGAAATTGGGTTTGGGACCCCTCACCAAACACAGGTAACATACCTGTATATACATTAATAATGTATTACCTTATATTACACGTACAAATATGTAATTAAACAAACGTATATATATATAAGTAAAATTTATGTTGGCTAAATGAAACTACATAAATTGTGCTAACGTTTTCACAACCGACGTTGCTCTTCAGGCATTTATATATAAAATAAATAAAAGATTCTACTCTCAGGTAAAAGTATCTAGAAAAATGAGGTTTTTAGAAAGGAAAAACTAATTTCATCTTCGCTAGCGCTTTCACCCACTACGGGGATCATCAGGCATTTTTTCTTTCTAAAAACCTCATTTTTATATATTTATATATATATATATATATTATATGGTTAAAGACCCTCTTGATAGCTAGTGTCATATTCTCACCATCATCCGTATCGCAAAACAGCCGAGACGAAATCTTATATTATGTTTATTAAAAGATCTTTCCAGTCTGGTTAAAATACAGATCTATGTTTCGTTTCGTTTTTTTTTATACTTTCGATGGGTTCTACTACATGAAGATCTGTCCGGTTGTAGTGGAAGGTCACGTCAGGGGGTCATGCGAGCGACTTTTGATCCTATGACGTCAGACATTTGATTAACCAATCAGCGTTGATGTTTCTAGAGGGTTACCCACAGTTCTGTGCACCTAACACCAAGAACTCGCCGTAACAGACCGTTTCATTGGCTAATCCCTCACATTATTCAGAACGCGGGTTATATAACAACTCTTCCAGACCCTAGTGTAGTAAAGACAAGTAAAACAAAATTTTGAACTATAAAAAACGAAACGAAATAGGGTCCGTGTTTTAATCTGAATGGATCACGCAGTAACAACAGACTGGCCAGCGCTTAAAACATGGGTTACGGTCCTGTGTAAAACATGGATGTCCGTCAACTACTTTTATTGTGTGTAATTATATGTTAAATAAATACTGTTTTAATCGACTACTTTCATCTTGGAGGGTTGGAGGGCCGAATGGTTAGCGCGTGCGCGCTATATCATAAGGTCTGTCATTGAGTCAATTGGCGTGATTTCGATTCCCCGGTTGTACATGACAAGGAGTAGGGTCGTCTGTCCAACCTCGTGGGTTTTCTCCGGGTCCTCCAGTTTCCTCCCACTGCGAAAGATCCCTACGCGCAAGCGAATTATTGAAATAAAATTGAACCATATGTTAGTCCCGAAATGGCCTAGTTTGTGTCGAGTAGGTGTTAAACTCTCTCTCTCTCTCTCTCTCTCTCTCTCTCTCACACACACACACTTTTATCTTAACTTACTATCACAACAGCGAGTAAGAATGTCTTGGAAAGAGCCAGACACTTCGAACACAGAATGAACGTTTGACGAATGACAGTTTAACCAGGGCCCTTATTCACGAAAACTTAAACTAAGATACAATCGAAATTTTAAGAAATACTGCAATTCGATTGGCTGACCAATATGCAAATTGGATATATGCAAATTGATTTTACTGGTCAGCCAATCGAATTGCAGTATTTCTTAAAATTTCGATTGTATCTTAGTTTAAGTTTTCGTGAATAAGGGCCCTGGGTTGAATAATTTCATCAATCTCTGCCATCAACATGAGGAACATGATAGTAAAAATACCAGTTGAAATTGTCTAAATTTTGACTTAACGTGCGATTATACAGCGATTCTTCTAAACAGTCAATTACTATTTGGTCAGATTCCTCATCAAATTTATTAGCAGCAATGTTTGGTTGTATCAACAACCATGATAGTTCATGGATGCTATAAATACAGACAGATCGTACATATTGTCCTACACAACGATGTGCTCGTGTCCACTTCCATGTCACAGCTTTCGATATAAAATTGTGATTCACTTGGCTAATGTATTTATAACTGTCCTGTAAAACATTTCCAGGAGCTTCTGGTAAAGATGAAAGTGAAGGCCAGATCAGTTCTTCTGGAGCGTACATGTCCGCTGCCCAGCTAATCAGTTCCTTAGCTATTTCACTATTTAATACAAAATCGACAAATCCTCTGGTGAAAGATCCGTACATACTCCCCTTTCTTAAAGTCCTTGTTTTAACTGAAAACCGAGACGGTATTGGGCTCTTTAGGGTTTCGGTTTTCAGAAGTATGCCCTGTTCGGGAGATCGTTTGTGAACGTATTCAAAACGAATGTATTTGTTAGCCGAATATGGGTACGATTCTATATCATTTGCTCCATTAAGGATTTTCAAAATTTTCACAACTTCCAAGTTGGTTTTCAAAATATATTCTTGGCCAGCAAAATTAATGTAATATTTCCATTCAGAATTTGCTTCCAGGAGTTTCTTCATGCACATTAGATCTGTTTGCATCATGTCAATAGACGTGTACATCACGTCCAACCTTTCTTCTAAAACGTACACATTATCAAAACAGGAGCCGATGTTTTTTATAGTCTCGAATATTCCAGGTTTTGCTTTCTTATCAACGTGAATACAATACACGTTTTGGGGCCGCCATATTGTTCTTAGCAACTGCTCTGCTTGTTCGACAGCTTTGTGCATCTTAATAGAAAATGCTATAGGAAAGTCTTTTTCTTCTTGCGTAATTGGCCACGCGGTGTATCCATGAAATTCTTTTAATCGAGAGCAATCCTTGACCAGAAAGTCTAAGCTACATGTTTTCGCAGAGGCGAACACCTTAGTACTTGCTATTTTTGAAATGTAAGGCTTGTCATTTATAAACAGTCGTTTGCAGTTTATGTGCCTTTCTGCTAGAGTGGAGAACCAACAACTGCCGTCTTCGTTCCATGTATTCCGAACTGGAACTTGTGGTCTCTGGTCATGTTGATTGCTCTCTTCGCCTCGTGCATCTCGAATGGACATTAAAGGCTCCTCGTGTTGATTAACTGAACCGGTTATTTGTTGATCTTGGCCTTGTTTACTAAATCTTAGCGATATGCCCAGCAACAGAATGGGTAACAGGAAAAGGACCACATAATAAAGTCGGATTGGACGGAGGGAGCAAACTGTAAAAAAAAAAAATTAAAAATACATTGGAAAAATTACTCAACGGCGTGTAACACAGATTAGCCGGTGCTCGCTCAAGAACTAAATCCGCCAAAAGGTTGGTGCCAAACTGTGTGCCAATGTACTGTTTTGGGGGCGTGGCTTCACATTCCTAAATTATCTACTTGGTTATTTTAATTTATTAGTAATATAGTAACAATCTAAATATTAAACAGTCATGGGGATCACGTGGCTAAGTGGGTAAGACGCTGACACGCTAGCCTGGAGGTCGATTGTTCGATCCCTGCCTTGGCCGATAAAGTTCATCCAGATTTTCCGGCGTGGTTTCCCATTGTCAGTGATGCAGGACGGAGGACCTGACAAGGACAGCTGTCTAGTCGTTCGAATGGGACGAAAAACCGAGGTCCCGTGTACATATTATCGTGCACGTAAAAGATCCCTTGACAGTTGGAATTCGATATAAGAGTAGGCCGTAGTGCCGCTGTCCGGGCAAACTTTCCCTCATAGCACACTGTATGGCGTATGCCCGTCTTCATTAGCCCAGTCGGAGCAGAACAGTAGGACTTTAAACCCCATTTCATTTCATTAAACAGTCATACTACAATCCAAATCTCGTCAGATGAACTCTTTAATGTCACTGTTTTAAAATTCACAACTCAAAGTCCTGGACAGCAATTTGATCGTGTAATTGCTCATGCGACCTGAACATCGTTT